ACAACGATAAAGCAAGTCCTCAAAACTCGATTGGACTAAGAGAAATCCATAAAGAAGTTCCTCGATGGTCATACAAATTAATCGACGAGTTAGAACGCCGGGAGAAAGAAGAAGAACAAGAAAAAGAAGACGAAGAAGACAAAGACGAAGAAGACAAAAAAAAAACGGCGCAAGATCATCAAATTCATTCAAGAAAAGCCAAACGTGTCGTAATTTTTACCGACAATCTAAACTCTGAAGATCAAGATATTGATATCACAAATACTGATGATTTTGACAAATCATCAGACGAAATTGTTTTGCTACGGTATTCCCAACTATCGAATTTTCGTCGAGACGTAATTAAAGGCTCTATGCGTTGTCAAAGACGTAAAGATATTGTTCACGTTCCTTTCTTTTTTACTTGTTTTGGCTGTATGAGCGTGCACTTACCCATAGTTAGATTTAGAAGGGTATGTTAACGATATCGTCTAGTGGGCCACTTGTAGGTGCATTTTTCGACACCAATAGTGGATCTTCACTTAGTATTTTTTAAGCTAAAGGAAAGGGACTGATGTAGGTTGAAGTGAAAAATTAGGGTCGTTAAGACATCTGTCATGACATGCATGTAATAACGATCTTGTACTGAAGTGAAAAATTAGGGTCGTTAAGACATTTTCGATGATCGAAAGATTTTTTTAGATGTGTATGATGAAATTACCCAAAAATAAAAAAAAAAATTTGTCCCCCATCACTTAAGTTGAAAATGAGACTCCATTATAAATGAGATGTCCCTTTGTCTTCCTTTCATCCCATTAGAGCGGTTCAAAGTCAGATAGAGAATACATTTCTTTGACGGTTCCAAGCTGGCATTTGCTTTATGTATAATTACACGTGTCCAGTGACCCTGCACGTATCCTTTGTGCAAACTCAATTTGCTGAAGGTACTCCTTGATATGGATCGTTGAAAGTTATAACATTACCAGGTCTTGAAAACACAATCTGCTTATGTCGACGTAGAATTATTGAATGAGGCTCACGATCGAAATATGTCGAAACAACAACAAAAAGAATTAAAAAAAAGTATAAATGCTTAAGATTCTTTTGTACCTGATAATCTTTCATACAGCGAGATTTAAAACCGGCAGCACAATAATCAAAATAGTATTCCCAAGTTCGTATGAAACGTTCATCAAAACCCAGTTCAAGAATCTTGCTGAAACAAACAATTCACAATGCGTTAAAAGGGATTGAACTTCAATATGAACTAACCCACACTGAATAACTTGGCTTCATACCTCTTATTCTCTATGAAATTCTTCTTCCAACACCTCAATGTCTGATAGTAATGAATACCAATATTTTCCACGTGTTCCACACTGCAATTTACGGAATTGATCATCCGTTTATAAGTAAGGAATGCTATTTCCATTAATATGAGGCGGTCTTTTGGAGAAAACAAAAGCAAATTCACGAGAGTTTATGCTCAAAATGGACAATATCATACGATTGTAGAGAGTCGTGATTTCTAATATGGTATAAGAACCAGTCACCAGACGGTGCGAGACATTGGTTGGAGTAAGGCTAGACTGAGTTTTAAAATCGTAAGGCCATAATATATGCTGGCAGCGAAATTATGCTAATATCATATAATTGTAGAGAGTCGTAGTTATTTGCTTACCAAAGCCTGGATGCTTTAGCCATGGCTGTCGTTAGCCTACTTATTGATGGTAGACATCCTCCTGGAAATATATATTCCTTCATAAAATCGGAACTCAGTCGATGCTCCTCGTAATGCTCATCTGGTATTGATATAAACTAACACGAACCAAAAGTTACATGAAATCAACTTAAATACTCACCAAAATTCACGACATTTACAAATTTTCTAACCTGTAGAACCAGAAGACCATTCTCTGCTAATACTGATTCACATAAACCAAAGAAATCTTCCATAAACTCATGACCAACAGATTCTATCATCCCACTGAATATATAAAAATGAATCAAGCGAGTTCATAAACATAGCTAAATGACTTCCTTTGACTCACTCACCATGATATAATGCTATCGTATTTGATATTATTTGGCAATTGTCGATAGTCGCAAAAAAGAAACTTGATTTGATCCTGAAAGAAAGGTTTGAC